TGAGTTTTCCTGAAACAGAGTTGTATCCAAGTGTTTGTCTTCAATTCCACTGATCCTGTCTTCCACCATTTCAAATCTGCTTCTCAGCCCTTCTGTCACATCGTCCATTTCTGAAATCTTGTTGTTTATCTTTGGGATTTCTAATTGTTTTCTTTGTATAATTTCTAGTTCTGAATTTATTTTGGCACCTTTTTCCTGCATTATTTTCCTGAATTCTTCCAATTTTTTGTCTGTATTCTCCATGAATTTGTCTATTTTTTCCTCATGGTTGTCAGCTTTTTGCCTCAGTTCTTGGAGAATTCTGAGTATTAGAGATTTGAATTCCCTATGAGTTAGTTCTAGTGCATTTTCTTCCAGAGGAGAGTCATCTGTTGTTTTATTTTGGATGCCTACTGGAACCATCCTGTCCTGTTTTTGTAAATGTTTTGTTATTGTCTGCTGTCATCGGGGCATTCAGTAGTTATTTTTATTGTTTATTGATAGTAGATTTGTTTGTTTCATCCCTTTTTTAAAAAAAAATTTGACTATGTCTGAGCAGGCAGACTGTGTGTTCTCTGTTGTTTGCTTATCTGTGGGCACAATACTTTTCACCTCCTTCTCCAACTGGCAGGGTCAGTCACTCAGATATGGTACGGCAGGGCAGGTGTAGCTGAAGAGGAGTTACTGGGATGGCTTGTTTGTGGCACTTACTGCAGCCACCAGAGTGGGTCGGTAATAAGTGCAGGGCAGGTTCCAGTAGGCCGTGCCTATGCTGCTTGGTGGTGTGATGACAAGCGCATGGTGCAGGTAGGCAGGATGCAGCGGGGAGATTGTTATGTGTGGAGCTAAGATGGATATGGAAGAGAGGAGAGAGGAACAGAAGCCAAAAACATACTAACAAACAAAAAAGAATGCTAGGGGAGCTTGCCATTGGAGTGGAGAGATGAGAGACTATGAAATGGCAAAAAACAGAAAGGGGAAGAGGAAGAAAAGAAAAGAATGAATAAATAAGTATCAGAAAGGTTAAAGAACCTCAAAGTTCCCAGGGATCCCACTGGTGCAGCTATGAGGTCTGGGGAAGTCACTCTCAGGTGTTGCAGTATAGCCTGGCTAGAAGGCGTAGAGGTATACAACACCAGGTATTCAGGAAACATAAAGAGAAGGACGATATAGAGAGATGAGGAACTGAGCAATGAAGAAAGTCAAAAAGGCAAAAAGAGGAAAAAGAAAACAAAACAAATTAAAAAAAAAACCCCAACGTAAAAAGAAATGCCCTTAGGGATCCCTATGCACGTTTATGGAAGCCGAAGGGGAGTCTCCCTGCCACTCAGCTCAGCCTGGTCAGAAAGGGCTCCCAACTCAAGAAAAGGAAAAGAAAACAAACAAACAATTCAAAGCAAACAAACTAACAGAAGCCCCAGGATCCCACTGGCGCAGCAGCCCAAACCGGGAAGCAGCTCCACACTCGAACGGAGCTCCGCAGCCCCTCAGGAAGAAGCAAAGATGGCGCATGGAGCCAGGTACTTGAGTGAAGTTAGGGGGAGTTGGCGAGAGGCAAGTAAGAAATCAAAAGAAGCAGAAAAAAAAAAAAAAGCAACACTAGCAGCCGACAAATGGCACTCAGAGAGCCAGCTAGTGCAGGCTGGTGTTTCTGGACAAGAGACCGTGTCCGTGGGAAGCCGAGGGGTCCAAGTGTGGGTGAAGAAGTGTAGAGAGTGGGAAAGCATATATCACAAATTTCTGGAGCTCTGCAGTCCCTCAGGAAGAAGCAAAGATGGTGCACGGAGCAAGGTACTTGAGCGAAAGGAGGGGGAGGTGGGGAGAGGCAAGGAAGAAATAAAAAGAAGCAGAAAAAAAGCAACACCAGCAGCCAACAAATAGCACTCAGAGAGCCACCCATTCAGGGGTGTGGAATCCAAGCAGCTGTTGTTTCCCAGTCAAGAGACTGTGGCCGTAGGAAGCAGAGGAGGCCGAGTCGGGGTGAAGCAGTGTGGGGGGTGGGAAAGTGTATATCGCCAATTACCGGTTGTTTTGTCTACCGCTGGATGCTCCGTGAGGCTGCTTTCTCGTTCCCCCATTTGCTGGTCTCCGATAGGAGTCCAAGATGGTGGATCCTCACTGCATTATCTGGTAGGGGACCTCTGCATGAATCTCTCCTCGCTCTCCGTTCTCTGTCAGTTTTCTCACTCCATTTGGTGCTTGGCTGAGTTCTTTATCTCTTCATTTGATGTTTTAGGGTTTCAGGATTGTTGTATTCTCTGTTTGGCTTAGTTTTTTGGATCTTTGCTGTGGAGGGACAGCTTGGTGCTTCTGCCTAGACTGTCATTTTGCTGGAACTCCTAAGTCAATCTTTTAAAGGGTAATTTTAGATTTTAGATTTATTAGGTACAGTGGGTAAGAAAGTTCAGTGATTCAAACCCACTAGCTGCTCCACAGAAGAAAGATGTGGCAGTCAACTTCCATAAAAATGTACAGCTTTGGAAACACTATGGGACAGTTCTACTCTGTCCTATAGGGTTGTTATGAGTCAAAATTGACTTGGTGATGGCAGGCAAAAACAACCATGAACAGGGAAGTACCAAGACCATTTCAGAAGTTAATCCCAGTAATATCCATTGAACATTGTCTGCGTACAACTGGGATCAAATTCTCATTTGACTAAATTGCATGGATAATAAGAGGTGTAAATTACCTGATTCTTGTTGGGGTATATCCGGTAATTAAGATGAAGGAGGGCCAGAGAAAAAAAATGAAAGCTTTCAAATTGCTGATTTGAGGTGAATATAAAGCAATTTAACTGAGAGCTTCTAAACCATATTTTAAACTGTCCACAGAGTTTAAAGGCTATTTGGCCAATGATTACTGCCATGTATCAGAATATTAATTTGCATGTGCAGTAGTTAAGCATTTGGCTGCTAACCCAAAGGTTGGTAGTTCCAATTCACCAGCCACTCCTTGGAAACCCTATGAGGCAGTTCTCCTTTGTCCTATAGGATCACTGTGAGTCGGAATCAACTTGACAGCAACAGGTTAATAATGGGTGATTCTCATCTCATGGGATATTATTTCAATAGTTTCTATCGTAACTGCATTGAGTTTTTTTCTTATATAATATGTGTCTATCATCTATCTATGTATCTGTATTTATGTATGTATGTATCTACCGTCTGTCTATCGGAAACAAAATGATGGTTGCTTTAAATCATTAAACTTCAAACACCATAAGAATATCTAAATATTACTTATTTCCTACAACATTAACCATACTCCATTATGCCTCTTAATAAATTATTTCAGTTTAAAATCAGTAACATATGTAGACTTAATAAATAAATTGAGAATGCTCACTACAATTGCAATAATTACCTGTATGTAAGGCATGGCATATTGAACATTCCACTGCTAATTTAGTTTTTGCATTTGAGAAATCTTTTGGTATACAATCGTGTTTATCTGTATTTTGTATTTTCATGTGTTGGGGGTTGTTTGGAAGTAGACAAAGAAAGAAGAGTTCTGCATCGGTGAGACAGGGAGGTTAGTTTATAAAGAATTTAAAAAGCATTGATGAATAATGGTAAAAACTGCTTACAAATTAAATTAAGAGCTCGGTTAGAACAGGCAGATTGGCACATGACCAAATTCTGTGCAATCATTTTGTGTCAACATTTGTCCACTTGCCATGACCTGGGATTTTCTAGCTGCATTCCTCTACTAGGAATATTATGAGATGTTTAAATATACATAAAATAAATATGCTATGAAAGTCTCTAGTGTGTGATATAGTGGGGCCTCGAAAACTTTACATAGCAGCAAGGGTAAGAAGTGTAGAATTCAGAAGTTCATGCTCAGCTTTGGAGAATTTAGGAGTCCGTTTTCATTTTAAGTCATTTGCTTGCCTAGGTGATAGGGCTGAGACACAATATACATTTGAATACTTCACTCTGTAAACTATTTTCACAATGCTATGAGTTTCTACTAAAGAATTATTGCATATATTGATATTATCTACTATAAAAAAACATGGTAAAATTCAATCTATTATTAAGATCAACTGAAGCTAAAATATAAACAATCAAGAAGTATTTCAATGTTATAGTACAAGGTCATAAGATGGGAACATTGAAGTCAAATTTATAAAAGTTTTGTTTCAGTGTAAAGAACAAATTTGCATTACTATTTCATAATTACATTTTCTTAAAATGTTGGCATTCATTATTTGAGGATTTGAGTAAAACTGATGATCATCTTTAACTATTTATATACATTGTAAATAATTTTAAATTTGTTAAAAAATCAATTTTCTTTCTTTTTTTATAGACAGAAATTGTTCAGAAATAATTGGCCAATATCAACTACATATCTGTTTCTATGGAAACTGCAGCAATATTACAGTAAACTGTCTAATTTGTGAATACCAAGAACAATTTTCAGGTAAAAAATGCATACATACAGACACACAAATGCTTTAATTTTGTCTTATTCAAAATTTTAAACTTTCAACAAAAATTTTCAACTAAAGTTGAAATATTTATTATTGAAAAATACAATTTTAGAGATTGTATGCTATGAACTTATTTTTATGGATAAGTTTAACAAATCAATGTGGCTAACACAATTAAGTGATTATTCTGCTAAATACTCCTTTTGTCACATGGACTCTTGTTGACATATATTTTTCATCATAAGAATAAAATACATTTTGTTCTAAGTACTAAAACACTTTTAGGATTATAGTAGTCCCACCCTATCCAAGGTCTCACTTTCTTTAGTTTCAGTTACCCAGGGTCAACCGTGGTCCAAAAATGTTAAATGAGTAGCGTGATGAAATCTCGTTCTGTCCTGCTCCATCCTGCCTGGAGACCACATTGACGTAACTTTTATTATAATTGTTCTATTTTATTATTAGATTGTTTATTATTAGATTTAAAATTGTTCTAATTTCATTATAAAATTACATTTTCTCAACATGTATTTTATTATTAGTTGTTTATCTCTTACTATACCTAATTTATAAATTAAACTTTATCACAGGTATGTGTGTATAGGACAAAACATAGTATATATAGGACTTGGTACTATCCGTGGTTTCAGGCATCCACGGGGGTCTTGTAATGTATCCCTCATGGATAGGGGTGATTATTGTATATATTTTGCACGTAACTTGCATATCTACCTTATTTCTTTTAGATAACATATCATCACACAGACATTTCTTTCTCTGAAGAGCAAAATATTTTTTTTATTTCTTCCCAAATGACTGTAAAAAAGTGAAATGAAATAAATCATTGTTTAAACCAATAGTTTCTTAATTATTAGCTGAAAGTATAACCATTGAAAGTATGCTTCATTCCCATCTCCTCTTTGAACTCTTTTGCAGTTTTCTATCTTCTTGATAGAAATGCAGCTCAACCTCAGTATAGCTGTCCCTCTTCAAAATGTCTCTAAGTAGTAGTGTCTCCAGCCACAATTAGATACCTAAAGACTCCTTTTGTGGAGGTGAAACAAAATATGCATATCTTTCAAACCCTAGGGAATAACCTCTCAGTGTTTCAATTGCAGACACTTTCACTTGACTGAGGTAAGGGAGATTTGAAATTTTGGGATAGTATCCTGACCACTTCCCCATAATATATAAAATCAGGCAATAAGAACTCTAATAAGGAGCCCTGGTGGCACAGCGGTTAAACACTCAGCTGCTAACCAAAAGTTTGGTGGCTGGAACCCACCAGACACTCCTCAGGAGAAAGATGTGGCAGTCTGCTTCCGCAGATTACAGCCTTGGAAACCTTATGAGGAAGTTGTGCTCTGTCCTATAGGGTTGCTATGAGTTGGAATTGAGTCCATGGTAGTGGTTTTTTTTTTTTTTTTTTTTTTTTTGAGTTTTAAGAACTCCAGCAACTCTCTTCAAAGAACTTTCTCTTTAGGTATTTTTCCCGCAAGTCTTTTACATCTTTGAAATAGGTAATGAGCTGGTTTGAGAAGTTTGAGAAGTTTTACATTTTCTTATCATATACTGCATACGAATTGTAACCATACAATTTATTTTCCAAGCCATGACAATTTTTAGCGAAAGGGTTGACTTTATTTTGATTTAATGAATTGGTTAGAAAAACAGTTAAATCACTATTAGAGTTAACTGATTATATATTTGAAGTCCATGATGTTACTAATATCAAGCTGACATCTTTTAACTATATGTGAAGTTCTGCTAATGGAGCCAACACATTTACAACTATCACATTACTTTTTTGAATGTACAGAGAAACTTACAATAGGAAATGAAAGAAATAATTATGGGACAGTCATTTAACCTAAATGAAAAGGCATACTTTACAGAGTAATATGTAAGAATATCTTGTAGATCTGCACGTGTTAACTTATTATCATCAGGCAGTCTTCTCAAATAATTATTAACATTATAGTAGATGTGCATGGTTCTTCAACAAATGTATACCTTCTGGTTTTCATCTTGTCAGTGATATTAATACTCCTGTGGAGAATGGTTAATAGTGACAAACTGTATATTTATCATCAACTTTTAGGGAAACACAAATTCAAAACAGAATTTTTTTATTAAAAATGAAAATTATTTTTTGAACTTATTACATTAAAATATTGTATAATAGGAACTAAGCATCAGTGTATAATAAACTGACATTTTAGCAATATTCAATCTTCTACCTTATGATCGTAAACTGGTGTCGTCTTGGGCAAACTAAAATGAAGACGCTATTAAATGGTTTAGTAACTATTCAAATGGAATAATTTTGGGTGCCTGTTGCATTATTCTGGGACTTGAAAAGTTTAGCCAAAAATGATACCGAGAACATCACATTTAAAACCCTGTAAAGTCTGTTTATATACCATCTATTCATCATCTATGTACCCACCAATCTGGAGTCCCTGGGTAGTACAAATTGTTAATGTGCTTGGCTTCTAACAGAAAGATTGATCTGTGCCCACCTAGAGGCACCTTGGAAGAAAGGCCTGGGAATCTACTTCCAAAAAATCAGCCATTTGAAAGCCCTATGGAGCACAGTTCTACTCTGACACACATGGCGTCACCATGAGTTGGAGTTGACTCAACAACAATTGATGGTAGTCATGGATCTATTAATCTATCTATTGTATACATATTGTATGTTTCATGATAGATATCTTCAAAAATCTTAAGAAACAAGTCTATGTATAATATTTTTGCTCATTATGCTAAACTGTGAATATTAGTATATATATCTAATATATAAAACTGTTTTCATAAATAAGTTGAGATTGCAGTGTTCCAATGGCAAATCAAAAGTTTAGAAACATTGTAATTACAATCCCTTATTAATCAATAATTATTACATAAATTAGACTGTGTGTCAAATTGGCATCGTTCTGGAGAATTTTGGAACTCATATGTTTTGGGATGTTATGGCTATCATGCCAGAACCAGTTATAATAATCTACACCAAACACAAGTTTAAATTAAGACTGGAAAGACACAAGATATAAAGTACACCATTCTTATGTGAAAACTAGTGAGTCTTTAGAAAAATAAATCTTTATTTTTTGACACTTGAAAATATTGATAAATACAATATGAATAAGAATAATTAGCCATGAGGTCAAACTGTGATCTCTGACATTGTAGAAATAAAATTAAGAATGAAAGGTCTAATCTAAAACAGTATGAAAATATATTGTTCATTGTCATTCCAAATTTTAATATGTTACACTAGATTTATGTATCTGATTTGCAGTGATCTACCCTAAATTTGTAACTTCAAAGGGTTTACTTCCAAAAAAATTAACAAGTTATATTTTCTTTTAATTAATTCTCGCCTAAATTCTTGCATTACAATCCTTGTATTAAAATTCTCACTGTATAAATGGCCAACTCATGACATTTATTTTCAAAATTTTTCAAATATGAGTTTGATGTAGGAACAAGTCTTAGTTTAGATCTACTTAAAGCTACAAAAAGAAATTTTCATTTCAAGACTCGAGAAGGTTTGTATACAAGTCACATTGGGATCTCTGTACCCAAGAAGAGTGATTGGAGGAATGAGCAATTTTCAGAGTGTGGTCACCTCAGATATCATTCAGACAAATAACAAGAGACCCAATCTGGCCAGTGGAGAATACTATAATTATTTTAGTTATCATTTTAAAACACAAGGTAAGCAGATATTTTTCATAGATTTACATTTCTCCATAGTGGACATCTCCATTTGCACAACCCCATTCATGGGTAGAATTTATGGAGAACAGTATTTTGTCTTTGGGAAAGAAAGATGGAAGGAGCTAATAGGATATAACTTTCTTCATTTTTAATAATTGAAATTTACTCCTACTTTGAGACTCAATTCTGATAGAGGTAGAAAATTAATCTTAGTCAATTCAACCTCACCTCTCACTCCTACCATGCAGAGAATTGAACAGGTCCTTGTTCTCATGAGTGTAATTTTTAAAATATTGTGAGTAGTTAATCGTTTTGCATAGCCCATAGCCACACTACATGTACAATCAACTACAGGGCTTAGCATTCATAAAATCTGGACTTATAATTAGAACAAATGTTTATACGAGTTAATCCAATACATTTTATGATGTATATAATTTTTAAGGCATTGAATTAGTATTGAACAGGAAAGAGTTCATGTATTTTTACTTTGGATTGTTATTATTTTTATATTACCAAACCTCATTTTCTATTGTTTTTCTTCCTGATTCTCTGATCGTTATCAGCACTGATGGTGACCTACAGTTCTAACCTCAGCATAATCCACATTAATATAACAGTAAAGAGCAAATGCTCTGGATCCAGTTACTAATAGGAATGATTTCCTTTGCTATACTTCTATCTGATAAAGAATTGAAACTTCTTCTTCACCTTCTTATTAGGTATCCATTGTGATAAATCCTCTTGTTTGATTGGCAAGGAAAAATGCATTTAAGTGTTCCCCACACCACTGTAAATTGCCTCAAGTGTTGAAATACCTATCAAGAATCTCATACACAGTTCACATTTATTAAATAGCAATTATGGATAATTATGAAATCTGAGGATGTTAATGAGATTATGTTTTGTTTATGTTGAGGAATGAGAGTTTAAATTGATTTAAAAAATGAAAGAACTTAAATGCTCAACAATCTACCTATCTATCTACCTACCTATCTATTATCTATGTAGCTACCTACCTATCTGTATGAGCCAATTTAGATGTCCTTTTTTATTATTCAGTAAATAGTTTACCAAATAATAAAAAGGAAGAAATGTATTCTATGGGAAAATATTAAATGAGGTAGGAAGGATCAAAAGAAGATGGAAGGAATACACAGAGTCACTGTACCACAAAGAATTGGTTTACATTCAGCTATTTCAGGAGGTAGTATATGATAAAGAATCGATGGCACTGAAGGAAGAGGTCCAAGCCGTACTTGAA